ATGTGAACATCAAGTGTCTGTGACTGAATGAAGCAAACATTTTACACATGGGAACTCCTTGTTAAATGATTATATTATACAAAGGGGTGGATGGTACGGGGGCAAGGCAGGGGGGTGTCGCCATGCCTGTGTCTCCGTGCTCCCCACCTACCTCTTCTGTCCCTGCTCCCCATGATGCTTGTCAAGGGGCACACTGCTGAAGGAGGGGTTACCAGGTAGTACATCCAAAAGACACCTTTCTCAGCTTCATGGAATCCACTTACTTTGATCTAATTTGTTTATGCATAATATTCACTAAATGCTCACATCTGCTGCTCCTGAATATCTACACCAACTGTCAAACATATTGATGCTACTGAATTCTTAAACCGCAGGCTGGGCCCAGTGGTTCACATCTGCAATCCTAACACTTTGGAAGGCTGAGGCCAGTGACGTTAATGACGTTAGGAGTTCGAGACCAGCCTGCCTAACACAGTAAAACCTCTTTACTAAAAAAAAAAAAAAAAGGCCGGGCGCGGTGGCTCAAGCCTGTAATCCCAGCACTTTGGGAGGCCGAGGCGGGTGGATCACGAGGTCGAGAGATCGAGACCATCCTGGTCAACATGGTGAAACCCCGTCTCTACTAAAAGTGCAAAAAATTAGCTGGGCATGGTGGCGCGTGCCTGTAATCCCAGCTACTCAGGAGGCTGAGGCTGGAGAATTGCTTGAACCCAGGAGGCGGAGGTTGCGGTGAGCCGAGATCGCGCCATTGCACTCCAGCCTGGGTAACAGGAGCGAAACTCCGTCTCAAAAAAAAAAAAAAAAAAAAAAAAAAAAAATTAGCCAGGCTAATTTTGGTGGCGGGAGCCTGTAATCCCATCTGCTTGGGAGGCTGAGGCAGGAGAATCACTAGAACCTGGGGTTGGAGGTTGCAGTGAGCCAAGATTGCACCACTGCACTCCAGACTAGGTGACATAGTGAGAAAATCTGTCTCGAGAAAAAAAAACGAAAACAAAACAAGCCGAAGACTGGTTTATTTTAGCTTCATTTTGAAATTGTGAAGACAGGCAGCAAGACTAAGTGAGTTGTCCAAATTCAGGCAAGCTGGAGTCACGTGGTCCCTGGAGTGTGGGCTGACTATGTGGTGGAATGCGCTCCCCCTCCATGTGCCAGCACTACCATGTACCATATCCGGCCTTGACACCTGGGGACCTGGGAGTCTTTGGTTTTCTCTGACCTTTGCCACCAGATCTGCTCACTTGCAAGTCCTGTTGGTTGTACCCCTTCCAACATTTCTCCTGTCTTCCTACTTTTTATCTTGGTCACTGTTTCCACCCAGCTATAAACATCTGATCCAGGTTACTACAACAGCTCCTAGTTAGAGTCCTCTAAACTCTCTTTTTTAAACAAAGATGGCCAAACAGGTGGCTCATGCCTGTAATCCAAGCACTTTGGGAGGCTAAGGCAGGAGGATCACTTGAGGCCAAGAGTTCAAGACCAGCCTGGGCAACAGAGTTGGACTCCCATCTCCACAAAAAAAAAAAAAAAAAAAAAAAAAAAAAAATTAGCTGGGTGTAAGAAATAATGTATACAGTGGTCCATTTCCAAGACAAAGTGCCTTAAATCAGCTTAGGTCAGCAAACTAAAAAGAAACAAGCTATACTAGGCCCCTGCATGGACAGCCAATGCCTGGGTGTCACCCCCAACCCCCTTAGTTGCCCTCACCTGAACCAAAGAAGTTTAGTCCAAGATGAAAGTTTACGAGCCTGCAAAATAGCTCACTTTGTCTGTTCTTATTAGCCTGCCCAGCTACTCAGGTCATAAGTCAAATACCTGAAGAGCCCCTGAGCTGACTAGGATTGCAATGCATTGTGGGCTGCAACAAAACACAGCAGGACAACCCTAAAGAAATCACCTAAAGCCCCTACCCAACAACCAATAGGTGACATCCAGGAAGAATGTGACCCCACAGTACTCAGCCTGTGAGAAACCAGGGGAGGGACCTGCGCACTAGGGGATAAACTGCTTGTTGAAACTGTGCTGGGTGTGTCTGCAGCCAGACACCCAATATTGTAAGACCAGCATTAAAAGTCTCACTTTCGCTGTTCTCTGAGTCTCTGAGTCCATTCTTTGGGTTTGGAGGAGTTTGTTTTTCATAACAGGGAATAAAAATCATACATTCCCTTGGGGGTAAGTATTGGGATCTAGGTGGGTTATAGCTAAAGATGTTCGGCCATTGTGATATGCTCTACAAGAGTATATAACCTCATCCCCACAAACTTGGTGACATAATACTGACACAGGAAACAAGGGGAAAACCAGGTTGTGCTGAAGCTGATTTAGATTGCTATTTTGAGGCTGCAGCAGTTGAGTTCGACTTCATGAGGAAATAGGACTTAGGAGAGCTGAGCTGTGAATAAGGCTGTGATTTCCCAGGCAGGGAGAATGGGTGTGTGAGCATCTGCAAGAAGAAGAAAGCGAAGAGAATCAAAGGAGGCAGGAGAAAGGCACCGTATATGAGGGAGGAGTAAGGCCACACTGTGACAGCAGGATAGCTAAGACAGTTATTTATTTTTTATTTTTTTGAGATGGAGTCTCACTCTGTCACTCAGGCTGGAGTGCCAGTGGCACGATCTCAGTTCACTGTAACCTCCTTCTCCCAGGTTCAAGGGATTCTCCTGCCTGAGCCTCCCGAGTAGCTGGGATTACAGGCGTGCGTCTCCACACCTGGCTAATTTTTGTATTTTCAGTAAAGATGAAGTTTCACCACGATGGCCAGGCTGGTCTCAAACTCCTGATCTTAAGTGATCCGCTCACCTTGGCCTTCCAAATTGCTGGGATTTTAAGTGTGAGCCACCACGCCTGGCCAGCTTAGACATTTAGATGTAATGTTAGGCATTAGAGAATCAAATGCTTTGGAGAAAATCGGTGACTTAAAACTGTTAAACACAACACTGATCTGACAGCAGTATTCATTTAATTTTCTTTTTTTTTTTTTAAGACAGAGTCTATCTACCTCTGTCACCCAGGTTGGAGTGCAGAGGCGCAACCGTGGCTCACTGCGACCTTGAATCACTACTCAAGATTCAAACGATTCTCTTGCCTCAGCCTCCTGAGAAACTGGGATTACACATGCATACCACCATGCCTGGCTAAGTAAAATAATTTTTTTTGGGTAGAGACAGGGTCTCTCTATGTTGCCCAGGCTGGACATACTCATTTTCAATGGAAGGAGACAGGGCTAGGGACGTTAAGAGTCAGGCTTGTGCCTTGGCCTGACTTGGCTGAGGCTGTTTCCTGATCTGTGAAACGATGTGGATGTCAGAAGGCTCTTCAGAGGACTTGTCAGTCATCCACCAAATATTTTACTTGGTTTCTAGAAAGTGTCAGACAATTTGCTAGGTGTCAAAAGTAGAACAGGCAAGAAAAAAATATAGTCTTGGTACTCCAGGATCTTACTGGCTGGGGTAGGAGTCAGATAATAAAAAAGGCAACAAACAGATGAAACACTGCGAAGTGTGTTAAGTACCATGAAGAAGACAGGCAGCAGGAGAGTTACCATTCAGTTTAGGAGGCCAGGGAAAATCTCCTTGAGGAAGTGAGACTTACTGAGACCAGAGATTCAAGAAGGAGCTTATCAGTCAGAGGGAAGGGGGCCGGGCACGGTGGCTCATGCCTATAATCCCAGCACTTTGGGAGTTTGAGGTGGGCAGATCATTTGAGGTTGGGAGTTTGAGACCAGCCTCGCCAACATGGTGAAACCCTGTCTCTACTAAAAATACAAAAATTAGCCAGGCGTGGTGGTGCATGCCTGTAATCCTAGCTACTCAGGAGGCTGAAGCAGGAAAATTGCTTGAACCCGGGAGGTGGAGCTTGTAGTGAGCCAAGATTGTGCTACTGTGCACCAGCTGGGTGACAGAGCGAGACTCCATCTATAAATAAGTAAATAAATGAATCAATAAATAGCCAAGGGAAGAACATTGCTTGAACTGGGAGGTGGAGGTTTCTGTGAGCAGAGATCGTGCTACTGCATGCCATATGGGTGACAGAGCGAGACTCCATCTATAAATAAGTAAACAGCCAAAGGAAAGAACATTCCAGAGAGAGGAATGAGATATGCAGGGACAGGAAGAGCCTGCTATGTTCTGGAAATACTTCTAGAGCACAAGCAGTGAGGTGGGAAGAAAGGCCCGCGAAGGGATGGAGAGGAGGACCGGCTGGCCCTGGCAGGAGTCTGGGCTTTCTTCTAAGTGAAATGGAAGACACCGAAATGTTTCATCAGGTGGGGAGGGTCCTTACAGATGTGCACTCTAAAAACTCTAATTCTGCTGTGTGACCCAAGAGATACACTGAAGGTAGGATCAAAGACCTTGGATGTGGATGGAAAGAGGGGGGAAAAGAGTGGAAGCAAGTGCGACTGTCAGCTAAGTGTCTGGCTTGAGTGACAGAGCAGAAAATACTGCAACTTCTGATGTGGATATGGCCTATATGGATAGGTACAAGTTATGTTCTATGTGCCAGGCATGAAAAGGGTATTTAACATGTTAGCTCATAGAATATACAATATGGGAATTATCACCACCATCTGAACATCCTGTGTTCATAACAATGACTTCTAGAAAATGAGTGGAAATAGTAACTTCTGTGTCCTTAAGTACAATATTCAAGCATGAAATAGAACAGGATTCTGAAAGTGGATGGCGATAGGTTCTCTCCGAAATAATTATAGAAAACTTCACTAAAAAATAATGATGCAGGCCAGGCACTGTGGCTGATGCCTGTAATCCTAGTACTTTTGGAGGCTGAGGCAGAAGAATCTTTTGAATCCAGGCTGGGCAATGTAATGAGACCCTGTCTCTACCCACCGCCCCCTCCTCCCAGCCAATAATAAGCTGATAGCTCCAGGGGATTATATACAATACAACCAACCGAGGACACTGTAGCTCACCACACACAGCAGCATCTGATAAGGTCTTGTGCTTCTCTGAAATCATATTAATGAAGACATGTAACTACCAGAATGCCTCACATTGAAAGCTTTTATTTTGAAAAATAAAATACAAAAGTCATTAAGTTGTAAATGTATAATGGTAATTTCCCAACTTCTCAGAAATAAAAAGAATCATTTAAATAATTATTTATTATTACCCACATCGATACATCTAAATAGGCACACGTGTTCTATAAAACATTAGAACATGTACAGACAACCTATTTCAAAAGGAAACTGTGCAAGTCTGCATACAGGATCCCATTTTTAAACCCTCCCCTTGAAAACAAACTTCATAATCTGGTAAGAAAAGAGGACAAGAGCAGTTGTAACAGGAAACACACGTCCCTTCTGGGCTCCTGATCGCAGGGTTGTGCATGGAATCAGGATCAAGAGCTCTTTACGCAGGAGGCGTAGCCCTCACGAGGCCCAAAGGTGAGTGGACACCTCCATCCTCTCAGTGGGAGGAAACTGGCAAAGAAAGAGGAGACACAGCCAAGGTGCAGACACTCGGAGCGGGCAGCCAGTCCTAGAAATTCCCCTTTGCTGAAAAGGCAGCCTTCTTTCCTAGGGCAAACAAACAGACTGTGGTTACAGGTGTGGAGTCCCGGTGTGTTCTCCCTGTGCCTTCACCTCCTTCTTCCCCCTCCCAGCTCTGGGCCTGGACAAGCCAGATGGTCCAGAAGGCTCCTGCAGGTCAGGGGCAGGAGGATCCACACTGAGAACGCTGCCTCAGGAGGGCTGCTTGGGAGGCACACAAGCCCTCACTCTGGTGCTTTCAGAGACATGCAAGCAGCTGCCGGGTGCAAAATGAGCAGACAGTGGCTGAAACCAGGGCTGCTCCTGCCCATTTCTACATGACTGCTACTGTCGATTGCTATTGACACCACTGTGCGGGCACTGTCAGGGGGCACCCTGATTCCTCATGTGAAGAAATGATCCTAAGGTTAAGTGTCCAGGGCTCAGCACCCTGATTCCTCATGTGAAGAAATGATCCTAAGGTTAAGTGTCCAGGGCTCAGCACCCTGATTCCTCATGTGAAGAAATGATCCTAAGGTTAAGTGTCCAGGCTCAGCACCCTGATTCCTCATGTGAAGAAATGATCCTAAGGTTAAGTGTCCAGGCTCAGCACCCTGATTCCTCCTCATGTGAAGAAATGATCCTAAGGTTCTTTAAAGGAAGCTCCAGAGAACACAGTGACTGTTATGGAAATGCTGAAGCAACCCGAGAGATAACACAGTATCCATCCTAATGGCTTCGCTGTGTCCCCGTTTCTCCAGAGTCCTCCTCACCACAGGTGGGCACATCCCAGCCTCCACACACAGCAAGGGTGAAATGCTGCCGAGGCATCTGCCGTGCAGTCCCTCTTACAACATGGCTGGTAATAAACCAGGCCCTGTGTGTGTGTCCGGTGGGGTGGGCAGGGAGATGACCTGTGAACTTTGAAAGCATTTTGTATAAACAAAATTATCCAAGGGCTGATAGCTGCTGCTAAATATGCAGATCCGCAGAGCATAAGTCTAACATTCTGCATTTGCTCCTTAGCAGAAAGGAAACCCGAATCCTAGAACCTATCAATATTAGTAGCTCTGCCATCTGGGATTTTGACGGGACAGAGCAGTGTCTATGTGCTTCTTATATCTATAATCCATCAGTGCACAGCAAGTCATATTCAACCTGTTTTCTTACTGGTAAAACAGGAATACTGCCTGCTTGTCACAGTGGTTTGAGAACTGAATACAATTACACATATAGCTGTATCTATAATTTAGCATATCTGTTAGATATATCATCATGTATATATATACACACAAATACAATGCTTGGTATTTTACGCCTGGTATGGAGTATGCACAATTGTTAAATAAAGTAAAAATAAAAACAAAAGTCAACAAGTAAATTATGAGAAAAAATCACTATCAATATCAGAGTTTGAGACAGAGTCTCGCTCTGTCACCCAGGCTGGAGGGTGCAGTGGTGCAATCTTGGCTCACTGCAACCTCTCTGCCTTCCGGGTTCAACTAATTCTCCTGCCTCAGCGTCCTGAGTAGTTGGAACTACAGGTGCCTATCGCCAAGCCCAGCTAAGTTTTGTATTATTTTGAGATGAAGTCTTGCTCTTGTTGCCCAGGCTGGAATGCAATAGTGCTATCTCGGCTCACTGCAACCTCTGCCTCCTGGGTTCAAGTGATTTCTCCTGCCTCAGCCTCCCGAGTAGCTGTGATTACAGGTGCCCAAGACGCCCAGCTAAGTTTTATATTTTTAGTAGAGATGGGGTTTCACCATGTTGGCCAGACTGGTCTCGAACTCCTGACCTTGTGATCTGCCCGTCTTGGCCTCCCAAAGTATGTGGATTACAGTCTTGAGCCATGGTGCCCAGCCAATATCAGATTTTTTAAAAGGCTGTTCAAGTTCCAACTGATCAAAGGCTTTACCATATCATTTGGAAAAAAACTGATTTTTTTTTTTTTTTTTTCGAGACGGAGTTTCATTCGTTACCCAGGCTGGAGTGCAATGGCGCGATCTCGGCTCACCGCAACCTCCGCCTCCTGGGTTCAGGCAATTCTCCTGCCTCAGCCTCCTGAGTAGCTGGGATTACAGGCACGTGCCACCATGCCCAGCTAATTTTTTTTTTTGTATTTTTAGTAGAGACGGGGTTTCACCATGTTGACCAGGTTGGTCTCGATCTCTCGACCTTGTGATCCACCCGCCTCGGCCTCCCAAAGTGCTGGGATTACAGGCTTGAGCCACCGTGCCCGGCATTTTTTGTATTTTTAGTAGAGATGGGGTTTCACCATGTTGACCAGGATGGTCTTGATCTCTTGACCTCGTGATCCACTCGCCTCGGCCTCCCAAAGTGCTGGGATTACAGGCTTGAGCCACCGCGCCCGGCAAAAAACTGATCTTAAGAGAGTCTGGGTGGATAAGCAGAGACTGAAAGTCTGGGAAAGGGCGTGAGCTCTGAGCAGCTGCATCTGGAGATCTGGGCTCAGAATCCAGCTTTTGAGCTTGTGTCCCTGGTCATGATAAGGGCCATGTACTCAGAGGGTGTAGAAGGCAGGGCTGGCCTTGTCCACAACGTAGCCAACGTGGGTTACTCATCTAAGCTATCCATAATACATTAAAACAAGCAAGAGTAAACTTGAAAAACCAACCAAGAAACAACAAAAAAGATTGCAATAGTGCAAAAACATCTGCAAGTCCAGCACACAGAGAAAGCCCCTGGAGGTAGGGGTGGGCGGCTGGGGCCCCAGCTGAGGAGGGAAAGCAGAAGCAAGCAGCCGTTCCTGAGTTCTGAGTCTTCCCACCTCTGGACTATGATCTTGACAAATGACCTGTTTCCTCCAGGACCAGCTTCCTTTTCAGCAAACAGGAAGTTGGGCTTGATGGCCTCCAAGTCCCTTTCAGCTGCAGTATTTCACGGTTTAAAGGAAATAACAACACTATTGCGTGCTGATGATGAGCCAGGCTCTTGGATGATGATTCAGTCTCAGCACCATGCTCTTGTTAATATTCTCATTTTATAGATGAAGAAATGAAGACACAGAGATGAAGTAACACTCACTGCCACACAAAAAGCGAAGAGCCAGGATTTCAACCGAGGCAGATGGACTCCAGAGCTATGCTCTCCACCTCGGCCACCCAGCACCCTGCAAGAGCTCGAGTGGGCCACAGAAGGACCCAGCAATGTCCCCCAACCCTCACCTCATGTACGGAAGAGGCTCCTGGTTCTGCTACTCCACTTGCTCAGTCTGTTGAAGGAAAGAAGATAAGTTTGAATGTTCTTGAAGCTGGTCAGCATGAGAAGTGACTGCCCCATTGAAACACCAGGGGTGGCCCGCGGGCTCTGTTCACTTTCAGATGAATTCAGTGCACCACTGCTGCATGCTCAAGAATCTGACTGGCCTCTCCCCCAGTTCCTAGGAGGGAAACACTGAATCCTTGGAATTTCCTGGGTAACGAGAGTGTCTTTGTTATTTCTAAGCCCATTGGATCACATCCGAGTTTATGTTATGAGATGACTCAGGATGGAGTTCATCACCAAAAAGGCCAACCATGGGATCGGGGGGCTGGGGTTTGGAGCCCGCCTCAACTCTGGGGAGGGAGGTTGGCTGGAGATTGAGTTCTAACACAGGACCATTGATTTGATCAATCTTGCCTGCATGAATAAACCCCAATAAAAATGCTGGGTGTGGAAGTTCAGTGGCACTTCCCGGTTGGTGAACACAAGGGTGTGCCGGAAGGGTGACATGTCGATTCCACAGGGAGCAGGGACAGAAGCTCTGCACTCAGGACCCTCCCAGATCCACTCCTATCTTATGGCTGCTCCTGATCTGTATCCGTTATAAAACTCTAATTGTTAAGTACTGCACTTTCCGAAGTTTTATGAACCATTCTAGCTAATGATTGAAACTGAAAGTTCTGTAGGTGTCAACTCACTCACACTAGAGGTTAAACTGAAGATCTTAGAGGCCCATTTCTGTGTGTGTGCATGCGCACTTCTGCATGATTTTCTGCTTTCTTAGTCGACAAGGTTTCCCTCCGTAACCTAGGCTGGAGAACAGTGGCACAATCACAGTTCACAGCCTGGGCTCAACGGATCATCCTGCCTCAGCTTCCCAAGCATGTCACCACGCTCGGCTAATTTTTTTTCTTTTGAGATGGAATCTTGTTTTGTAGTGAAGGCTGCAGTGCAGTGGCGTGATCTCACTTCACAGCAACCTCTGCCTCCTGAATTCAAGCAATGCAATTCTCCTGCATCAGCCTCAGGAGCAACTGGGATTACAGGCATGTGCCGCCATGCCTGGCTAATTTTTTTGATATTTGTTTTTAGAAATGAGGTTCTGCCATATTTGCCAGGCTGGTCTTAAACTCCTGACCTTAAGTGATCCACCCACCTTAGCCTCCCAAAGTGCTGGGATTACACGTGTGAGCCCAGCCCAGTTAATTTTTTGATAGAGATGAGGTCTTGCTATATTGCCCAGGCTTTCTGCCCAATTAAAAAATCTTTTTCTTATGATTCATAGGAATGATCTATAAATGATCTATAATCTACAGATAAGGTGGGTTTTTTTTTTTTTTGAGATGTAGTCTCACACCGTCACCCAGGCTGGAGTGCAATGGCACAATCTCGGCTCACTGCAACCTTCACCTCCTGAGTTCAAGCGATTCTCCTGCCTCAGCCTTCCAAGTAGCTGAGATTACAGGTGTGCACCACCATGCCCAGCTAATGTTTTTTCTATTTTTTCCAGAGACAGGGTTTCACTATGTTGGCCAAGCTGGTCTCAAACTCCTGACCTAGTGATCCGTCCACCTTGGCCTCCCAAAATGCTAGGATTACAGGTGTGAGCCACAACACCCGAACACTTTTGGATTTTATATTCCTTCAAGACAACCTCTTGGAATATTCACTGGCTCCAACCTCCACAGCCTGTGAGTGAGTCTGTTCATGAATTTGCCCAGGTTTCTGGGACACCATGCCCAGCCTGGGCCCAGAGCTCTGTGCCCTCTTGTCTGCATGAGTTGGTCAGAGTCTTCTGGATATATCAGGAGCTCCTTGAGAAGGTTTTTCTTACCCCCATTACTCAGGAGTTACTCCAATTCTTCACCATAGTAGGCACTAAGTAAACAATTGGTGATTAACTGAAATGAATGGATGGATGAATATCAAGTATATGTGAGTTAAGAATATGCTTTGAAAGTACTTTAAAACACTCAAGTCATATGTATCAATTCCTAGCGGCTGTTTTCAGACAAGGATAGGGGAAGGAAGAGGCTTCAACTCCGGTGTGAGATATGGCTTCCCTCAGAGGGCGGCCCATTCACTCCAGGCTTGCTTCAGGCAACTGGACTTCACACTGGGCTCCTCTAGGCATGTCAGCCAAGAGACTCCCTGTTTCTTTCCAAGCCAGGAAACAGGACTGGAATGCAAGTCAGTGAGAGCAGACGTTACAGGGAAAACTCTGAATCTGCTTATTTTTTTTTTATTTTTGAGACAAGGTCTCACTTTGTCACCCAGGTTGGAGTGTAGTGGCACAATCTAGACTTGGCAACCTCCACCTCCCAGCCTCAAGCGATCCTCCTGCCTCAGCCTCCCAGGTAACTGGGACCATCAGCCTGCACCACCATGCCTAATTTTTTCTTTTCTTTTTTTTTTTTTTTGAGACGGAGTTTCGCTCTTGTTACCCAGGCTGGAGTGCAATGGCGCGATCTCGGCTCACCGCAACCTCCGCCTCCTGGGCTCAGGCAATTCTCCTGCCTCAGCCTCCTGAGTAGCTGGGATTACAGGCACGTGCCACCACGCCCAGCTAATTTTTTGTATCTTTAGTAGAGACGGGGTTTCACGATGTTGACCGGGATGGTCTCAATCTCTCGACCTCGTGATCCACCCGCCTCAGCCTCCCAAAGTGCTGGGATTACAGGCTTGAGCCACCGCGCCCGGCTAATTTTTTCTTTTTTTGAGGCAGAGTCTTGTTCTGTCACCCAGGCTGAAGTGCAGTGGCATTACCTTGGCTTAGCAACCTCTGCCTCCTGGTTCATGCAATTCTCCTGCCACAGCCTCCTAAGTAGCTGGGATTACAGGTTCCCGCCACAATGCTTGGCTAATTTTTGTATTTTTAGTAGAGATGGGGTTTCACCATGGTGCCACGTTGGTCTTGAACTCCTGACTTCAAGTGATCCACCCACCTCGACCTTTCTAAGTGCTGGGATTACAGGCATGAGCCACCATGATGGCTTTAATCCTTCAAACTCTCACCATCCTTCCCAGTGGCTGTGTACAAAATATATTTATTTTTTTAATTTTATTTATTTATTTTTTTGAGACGGAGTTTCACTCTTGTTACCCAGGCTGGAGTGCAACGGCGCAACCTCGGCTCACCGCAACCTCCGCCTCCTGGGTTCAGGCAATTCTCCTGCCTCAGCCTCCTGAGTAGCTGGGATTACAGGCAGACACCACCATGCCCAGCTAATTTTTTGTATTTTTAGTAGAGACGGGGTTTCACCATGTTGACCAGGATGGTCTCAATCTCTTGACCTTGTGATCCACCCACCTCAGCCTCCCAAAGTGCTGGGATTACAGGCTTGAGCCACCGCGCCCGGCACAAAATATATTTATAAGTCTTCTAGGCTCCAAATGAGAAAAGTCAAGGGGCCATGGATATATAGCACACACAATAAAAACAGAGAGGGTCACTGGATCTTTTTCTTTTGAATTAGGCACTGGAAGGCTGGAGCAGCTTTACCAACTGGGTGACTTGTGCATGACCTCAAGCAATCAGAATCTGGTTATCAATAAAGCATTTCCCTAGTTTTGGGAGACACTGAGCTCTCTGAAATTAAGACTGTGTTAAATTATTTTTAAACTCAACAAGTCGCAGAGACTCATCTTTCTTCCACTAGCACATATGATTATCACTTTTCTTCTTCTTTTTTTTTGTTTTCTTGTTTCTTTTTAATTTTATTATCTCTTTAAAAAGATTACTTTAATGCAAGAGCCAGTCTATTATCAGAAGGAAGAAGCAGACACAGTACCTGTGGTTTTTCTTTAAGAAAGTCAGGTAGCTGGAATTCTCCCTTATAGACCTGGAAAAACAAAGCAGGTGTGAGTTTAAGGAAACAGGTCTGGTCCCCACCATTTCAGGATATGTGCTATGCCTGACCGTGGACGCGTTTACTGCTCCACTGAGAGTGGATTTATTTATTTATTGACAGAGTTTCACTCGTTGCCCAGTCTAAAGTGAAATGGTGTGATCTCAGCTCACTGCAACCTCTGCCTCCCAGATTCAAGCGATTCTCCTGCCTCAGCCTCCCAGTAGCTGGAATTACAGGCGCCTGCCACCATGGCCAGCTAATTGGTTTGTATTTTTAGTAGAGACGGGGTTTCACCACGTTGGCCAGGCTGGTCTTGAACGCCTGATCTCAGGTGATCCGCCCTCCTCGGCCTCCCAAAGTGTTGAGATTACAGGTGTGAGCCACCATGCCTGACGCTGCTGGTGAGTTTAGAATGAGGGAGAAGCCTATCAGTTCAAGAGCAGGCAGTGGGTAGAACTGAGGGAAATCCCCATTCACTGCCATTCCCTCCTGCTCTGTGTTTACCAAGTGCTCACAAATGCGGGCTGGCTAGGAGAGGGTTCACGGTGCCTGAGTAACAAAGAAAATCACCCTGACTGCCAAATCCCAATCACTTTGGCTGAGAGGAAGCAAGCCCTAGGCAACCGCTCTCAAGCAACCAACACAGAACTCACATAGTTTAGGAACAAGCTCCTCCTAGTTCCTTTTGCAGGGTAACAAAACTGCAGCCCCTAGGAGTGTCTCCAAGATACCATCATCTCCCTCACACCCTCACAGGGTCCCCAGTCACTGGGAGCTTGCCTAGCTGCTCCCTAAAGAATTTGCATATAAGAATCATTTGTTTGGCTGGGCACGGTGGCTCACGCCTGTAAAACCAGCACTTTGGGAGGCCAAGGTAGGCGAATCACCTGAGGTCAGGAGTTCAAGACCAGCCTGGCCAACATGGCAAAACCCCAGCTCTACTAAAAATAGAAAAAATTAGCCAGGCATGGTGGTGGGCATCTGTAATCCCAGGTACTTAGGAAGTGGAGGCAGGAGAATCACTTGAACCTGGGAGGTGGAGGTTGCTATGAGCTGAGATCACACCATTGCACTCCAGTCTGGGCAACAAGAGCGAACTCCATCTCAAAAAGAGAATCATTTGTTCTACCCTGACCCCACAGCTTGGATAGTTCCAGCTTGCTAGAGTGGGAAGTGTCTGAGCCCTGGGAGCACTGTGTCATGTGAGCACTCACTTCCATCTGCCTGACCCGCCTACTGTCTGGGGCAAGGAGACAGTGCACCCAGTGGAGAGGCCAAAACTACTAGAATGTTTTGTTTTGTTTTTGTTTTTGTGTTTTTTTTTTAACCAGATCCTCAAGTGTCTTCCCTTCTCCCTCTATTCAAGAAACGAGTCCAGCCCCCAGCCACCCCACCGTTTTCCAGGCCCAGGGGGACATCACTGCTCAGGCCCACAGGCCACTCCGCTCTGTGCACTGGCTGCTGGATGGAGCCAGTGCAGGTCACTCTACTCCCATCTCTCTTCTGTTGTCAGTGGGTTGGGGTCTCAGGTGACTTTTCTTTTCACATTCTCTCAGACACCGAATCTCCTCTTTTAGCTAGCCTCTTCTGCTAGAATTTAGGCAGAAGGTTTAATTCAAGCCCAGGTAGTCACACAGGTTCAGTAGCAGGGCAAGGCTCAGAGGCCCCAGCCCAGTGCCCTTCCATTAAACCACGTTCTTTGCATCTTATATTGCGGTTAGCAAATCTATGGTGAAGTCTTTCTTCCTCTTTTTGGCTTGTTAAAAGTATGAGTAAGGCCGGGCGCGGTGGCTCAAGCCTGTAATCCCAGCACTTTGGGAGGCTGAGGCGGGTGGATCACAAGGTTGAGAGATCGAGACCATCCTGGTCAACATGGTGAAACCCCGTCTCTACTAAAAATACAAAAAAAAAAATTAGCTGGGCATGGCGGCGCGTGCCTGTAATCCCAGCTACTCAGGAAGCTGAGGCAGGAGAATTGCCTGAGCCCAGGAGGCGGAGGTTGCGGTGAGCCGAGATCGCGCCATTGCACTCCAGCCTGGGTAACAAAAGTGAAACTCCGTCTCAAAAAAAAAAAAAAAAAAGAAAAAGAAAAAAAAATCTAGGTATGCGATGTTACAAATCTAATAAAAAACCAAAAGGGGCTAGGGTAAAATATCAGATAAAGGCTCAAGCAAAAAATCAGTGGGCAGCTGTGCAGAGATTTCCTCCTCACAGTACCCTCTAGGAAACAAATGCCTCGGAAGTTGGGAACTGTAATACCAACAAAATTAACACTTTCCAATGACGAAGGAATTTCTATGCAGTGTAGGAAAAAACTGACCCACTAAAGTGCCCAAAACAGCAGAGCTAGAAACAAAATCTCCTTTCGTTAACAAAGTTTCTGGACATAATATTTTGAGGTACTAAAAGACAGAGGATTCTACTTGACAGCAATGAGCTAGGTATTCAGAATCCAAATGTTTCTACAAACCCTCCCACCTCAAGCACTGAAGAAAGAGAAGACAAAAGCGAGCTTCTGATTTGAAGGGCAAATTGGAAATAAAAATAGTAACAGCTAAACTTTACTTTTTTCTGTGCCCCAGGTTGGTATTAAGTAAGTGCCTCCTCATCAAATCGCACAATCTCTTGAGGAGGTATTATTCTTTTTTTACAGATAAAGCAACTCAGGCACAGAGAAATGAAGTAATTCATAGACTGGTAGTAAAATGGGACACTTCTGTAGTACTAGATTGAACTTCATTTTAAAAGAATCACTCTAGTTGCTGTTCAGGCTGTAGTATGGAGTCTATAGCTATAATCTAGGGAAGAGATAATGATGGCTTGGACCAAGGAGACAGAGGCAGAGATGGTGAGAAGTGGCGGATTACCATTTTCTTTCCTAATTACATATAGATATCCTAACAGATAGGATGTGGGATGTGAGGGACAAGGAGAATCAAGAAGGACTCCAAGGTGTTTTGCCAAAGCAACTACCAACTAGAAACACGGAGTTACCCTAAGTTGGTGGGGTTTTTCATTCAATACTTTAAATATTTCACGCTGTAAGTCTAAGAGCAATGAGACAATAGAAAGAAAGGGCAACCAAAATAGAAAGGAAGAAGTCAAATTATCCTTGTTTATAAATGATATAAGCTTGTATTTGGAAAAACCAGGACTCCACCAAAATCTACTAGAACTGATAAAGTTGAAGGAAACAAAAATCAACATACAAAAACTAGTAGCATTTCTATATGCCAGCACTGAACAATCTGAAAAAGAAATCAAGAAAGTAATCCCATTTATAACAGCTGTAAATAAAACAATTCTCAGAAATTTAAAAAAAAATTCTAAAATTTATCTGAAACCATGAAAGACCCAGAATAACCAAAGCTATCCTCAACAAAAAGAACAAAACTGGAAGAATAACATTACCTGGCTTCAAATTATATTACAGAGTTATAGTAACCAAAACAGCATGGTACTGGCATAAAAATAGACACACAGACCAATAAAATAGAATAACCCAGAAACATATCCAGACATCTACAGTGAACTCATTTCCAACAAATGTGTCAAGAACATACATTGGGGAAAGAACAGTCTCTTCAATAAATGGTGCTGGAAAAACTGAATATCCATATGTAGTAAAATGTAACTAGATACTTGCTGGGCATGGTGGTTCACACCTATAATCCCAGCATTTTAGGAGGCCAAGGCTAGTGGATCACTTGAGGCCAGAGGTTTGAGACCAGCCTGGGCAACACAGTGAGATCCAATCTCTACTCAAAATACAAAAATTAGCCAGGCATGGTGACATACCATTGTAATCCCAGCTACTCAGGAGGCTGAGGCATGAGAACTGCTTGAACCTGGGAGGTGGAGGTTCCAATAAATTGTGATCACACCACTTCACTCCAGCCTGGGTGACAGAGTGAGACCCTGTCTCAAAAAAAAAAAAAAAAAAAAAAGGACCTCTATTTTTTTCCATATACAAAAATCAAATCAAAATTAATTAAAGACTTAAATCTAAAACATCTAACTATAAACCTACTAAAAGAAAACACTGGAAAAACTCTCCAGGACATTGCACTGAGCAAAGATTTCTTGAGTAATACACCACAAAGACAGGCACCCAAAGCAAAAATGGCCAAATGAGATCACACCAAGTTTAAAAACTCCTACACAGCAAAGGATACAATCAACGAAGTAAAGCGACAATCCAGTGAATGGAATAAAATATTTTTAAACTATCCATTTGACAAGCGATTAATAAACAGAATATATAGAGAGTTCAAACAACTCAATAAGGAAAAAATCTAGTAATATAATTAAAAAATGGCCAAAAGATCAGAATAGACATTACTCCAAAGAAGGCATACGAAGGCCGGGCGCGGTGGCTCAAGCCTGTAATCCCAGCACTTTGGGAGGCCGAGGCGGGTGGATCACAAGGTCGAGAGATCGAGACCATCCTGGTCAACGTGGTGAAACCCCGTCTCTACTAAAAATACAAAAAACTAGCAGGGCGTGGTGGCGCGTGCCTGTAATCCCAGCTACTCAGGAGGCTGAGGCAGGAGAATTGCCTGAACCCAGGAGGCGGAGGTTGCGGTGAGCCGAGATTGCGCCATTGCACTCCAGCCTGGGTAACAAGAGCGAAACTCCGTCTCAAAAAAAAAAAAAAAAAAAAAAAAAAAAAAAGAAGGCATACGAATGGCAAGCAGGTATATATGAAAAGGCACTCAACATCACTCATCATCAGAGAGAGGCAAATCAAAAATGAGATACCGTCTCAGGCCAGTTAAAATGGCTTTTATCCAAAAGACAGGCAATAACGCATGCCAGTGAGGATGTGGAGTAAAGAGAACCCTGATACACTGCTGGTGGGAATGTAAATTAATACAACCACCATGGAGAACAGCATGGAGGTTCCTCAAAAAACTAAAAATGCAACTGCCATATGATCTAGCAATCCATTGCTAGGAATATACCCAAAAGAAGTGAAATCAGCAGATCAA